TCTCACCGGACCAGGCTCTCACATCACCAAGCGCGAAGCGCCGTGAGGTATTCGGCGAGTCGCATGAAGGGTGAGCTGCATCCTGCTAAGGGTGTTCGGCATCTTGTGCTTACTTCCTTGCGTACGGATGACAGCTACGTATGACTTAATTTATTTTCTGGTGCTTTCACTTCCAGAGACAGTTGTAAGCACTGTGTAACTGCCTCGAGGAAGCTTGACCATTTTTACACAACGTGGTGCGATCATCCCCCGTTGCGCGGAGTGAGGTTTCTCGACCCCGCACAACATGATCTACTCGACCACCACTACGGTTACCGCCAAAAAAAAAAAGAGGTAAAAAAAAAAAAACGGTAACCTGGTTGCCGAGTTCACGAAGTGAATTGGCTTGTTTTACAACGTCGTTGCCAAGGGACGAAAACCCAATCCCGATGGCAAACACCGAGGGGGGGGGGGGGGGTGACCGGCGGCGAGCTTCGGACTGTGGTCTACTGACACAATATTGTTGTCAACCGCAACGACATCTACAGCCGAAGATAACACGTGTCACGTGTGTACAACAACCCCTCACTGTTCGTTTTCTGTCTCTGCATCTGTCCCTCCCTCGTGCACTCTGTCTGCCTCTGCCCCTCTCTACAAATACAGTCTCTTGGAAGCAATATTCCAACCACCGAAATCAGCAGCAGCAGCAGTGTAAAACTAACACGGCCCAACTTGTCTTTCCCCTCGTACAAACACGCTCGCTTTTGGGTCATCAACGAACGGCGCCTCACCGGCCATGCACACCATCCAGTTGCAGACGATCCCCTTGAGGAAGGTCGGCAGGAAAGGGCTCGACACCTTGGAGACGGCGATCGCTGCCGCCGTGCCGGGGGCGGCGTTGATCCCCGCCGCGACGACGAGCTTGGCCAGCAACACGGAGCCCAAGAGGTTGCCGGCCCACGAGCAGGTCCAGTTCTTAACCAGGTTCCTGGAACGAACAGAAAATAAGGCACAGGACGACGGCGGACAAGGGAGTGCTCTTTCGACAACCCTCTCCCTCCTCCGCCGGTCCTTTCACCTCGCTCGGAGTCTTGGTGTCGGTGAACGCGTATCGCATCTTAAGAGCACGCCCGGCCATCAGCCACTTGGTCGGAAGGGACTCTTCTTCCTGCCGAGAAAAGGGTCCCCTCGCGTCGGCAGGTATCTTGGTACTCTGTGGACTAGAGGACGTTCGGCTCTAACGTCAAGACTGCATCAACAACGAACAACACTACCAACATTACATTAGATTACCCCACCACCACCACCACCACCACCACCCTAGCATAGCAAGAATATCAACAACAACAACAACAACAACAACAACTCACGCGACGGTGGCCTTCCCCTCCACAAGGGCGGCAGTGACGAGCGCCGTGTTCCCGGTGAACAGCTCGCCTCCGGCGACCAGGACCATGAACAGCCCGAAGGGGAGGCCGAACAGACCGAACAAGAGCTTCTGAAGCCCGGGGTTAGCCGACTGGCGAATTCGATTGCGTCCAGCAGGGGGGGAAACATGCATACGTACGGGGGGGGGTCCGCGGAGGGTTCTCAAGACAAACAACCACACACCACGGACGAGAAACAAGCGCATTTCCGCAGTTCGTCGGGCGGTGCATGGTGTCGTTTCGTGCTTTCGCTGGCTAGCGTGGTCGCTGCTGAACCAGCAAAAAAAAAAACACACACACACACACACACACACTCGCACACACACAAGTGCGACATTTTGGTCAGTCGGTAGGCGCCGTCGATACTAGTTTCAGGGAAACGCTCACAGATGAAACACGCGTCTACTTGTGATTGCGGTCCCACACGATTGCGTACCGGTTAACTTTTGGCTGGCCTGTTGGTCGCAGCAACCATGACACATCAATGAACGCGATCTGTAGACGACACGGGGGGGGGAAATAAATCTGAAATGTCGCTCGATTCCGCCGAGAAGATCTACTCTCCCACCCTATCTCAGCAGTTCAAAATCGACGGGTTACCTCAAATCAAGGACCAAGGATCGTCATAGGGCATCCAAGGCACCCTCTCCCACTCCCCGCCCCCCTCACTTCGCACCACACACGGTTGTTGTTGTTGTTGTTGTTGTTGTTGTTGTTGTTGTTGTTTTCTCCCATCAAATGGTAGATAACAGAGGTTAACAAAAAAAGGTAGAATAAGATGTGGCAGAAACGTCCAAAGCAGCCGAGCGGTTGGCGGTGGTTATGTATCAGGACCGAAAACGGCGCTCCCCTCCCAAGCAGAGGTTCTACGTAAGCAGTGACCCCCCGCCCACCCTTCTCCGAACTCCTCCCGGCTTCTATCCCGCCGGTGTCTACGTATGTCGTCATCCCATTCGTCCTGTGGACGTCGATGCTCCCGCCTACTCGCCACTTTTCGATTGTGCCAGCCGGGGCCACACAAGAGGGAAGGGCCACGCAAGACGGCGGAGTATACCAAGCCTCAAATATCCAACCGTCGTGATCATGCAACATCCCCCCCGCTCCCGCACCTTGATCGCCGGTATGCTACCGCCGACCGTCACGGCGAGCAAGCCGCCGAAGCCGATGTGGAAACCCGACAGGATCCCGAGGAGAACGATGTCCACCGGGGAGGCCGCCGCCTTCCGGGCGCCGAGGTCCACGGCGTTGGCGTAGAGGCCCGGGGGCGGCTTGACCAGTCCCCCGCGCGGGGCCTGGAGGACGGCCTCAACGGGCTTGAGGACGCCGGCGCGGAGAGCGCCGGCATTAGCAGCGGCAGCGGCACCAGCACTGGCGGCGGGTGTAGAGCGCTGCTATGCACACAAACACCGCCAGTTGGCAACAGCAGCACTGAGAGTTAAGAGACCGTAAAAGGGCGTGTAGACAGAACCATAACGGTGACCGGTAGACCTTCTGGGAGCGACGATGTCAGACGGGCCAAAAAAAAAAAGGCGGTGGACATCAAGATGAATTCGTGCGTTCCCGTGTGTAACAGAAATACCTACAACGCGGAAACACTTTGAGTGAGCGTGGTTCATGAACTAGCATTGACCGCGCTAACCGGCAGATCAATCAAAATTTGTCAAAAGTGTCTGCGGGAAAAAAGCAAGGTCCCCGGAACGGGGTCAAGACAAAAAAACAACATGCGTCGCCCCAAACTCCTACAATAATAAACTGTCTATTTAGCCCTCTCTGCGAGTGTGAGGTGGTGTGCGTTTCTTGCTTGCAATCCTGGATGGTGTATCAAAACGTGTCGCATGTGAATGCTTCGTTAGGACTGGTAAAGGCGTTTTCTAGGTACTTGGAATATCTAGACATCACAGGCCGCAGAAGCGTTTTCGCGCGGCGAGGGTCGAGATTACCCCCTCTCGGCCCTGTCCCTGTACTTGTGCATGTACACAGACGAGAGTAGACACAGCAGCTAATGATGTTGGAGTTGTTTTCTCATTCAACGTGCAAACCAATCGGCCTTATAAGTACCAAGTTCCTCCCGTCGCCACCCAAAAAGAGGAGCTGACACATGCAGACAGGCATTTTCATTTTTAGCCGGTGAGTACGGTCAATGCTAACGAAAGAGACACAGACAAGGAGCCTAAAATAGCTACAACGTAGGGGTGAAACCGGTAACATACGGCACGCCAAATCTTTCACACCAATTATTGGGGATGGAAGGTTCTTGCATGTAATCGATATGTATTCTGATGCGCCATCACCACGCGCTCAGCGTCAGGAGTGTAGACTGCTGCTACTTAAGAGGGTCGACAAGGTATCTGCCCGGTCTATGTAGGCACACACATGTTTGCCGGAGGTTGAGGATGTAAACCCGACAGAGAGGTTTCCCACCGGCACAGCGGGTGTGTGTGGAGAGGTACTGGCTAGCTGGAACAGAATGCTAAAGTTTGTTGTTGTTGTTTTTGTTGTTGTTGATGATGTATCCACAATAAAAACCGTTCCGATCTCTCTACCCAGTACCTTCATCTGTCCGTACAGCAGTACTGATCAAACACTTGACAGAGCGAGATTCCCGTGGTCACCGGCTAACTTACCTAAAAAAAGATACACTCAAACAGAATGGACCCGAAGGGTCCGCAAGGCAATTATTAAAACCAACGACAGATAGTCTAGAACCCTCCGCTCCCCTCTACGCACACGCGATGTGGGGCAGAAACGAACCGAAACTCAACAGCACCGGCCTGACAGAGAGTTAACATCCCCTGGTTAATGATACTGCAGAAGTGAAGTGAAAGGTGCAGGTATTTCGAACCTCCCTTGTGATTGTTCTCGGGTGGTCACTGCTATGGTCTTGGTATGAAGTTGTGCTGCTCCTAGAGAGCCGTGTACCTAGAAACACTAAGTATCGGTGGGCAAACCAGCTGTCTCCGTGGTCCCTCCGCACTGCTACAAGCAATACCAACAAGCAGTTTCATGGACACCAGGATGGACACTGCTGTAAAACGAACACTTTCCGTTCAACCCAATGGAAAAAAAAAAAAAAAAACTGGCTGTTGTCATGTTTGCGCTGTTCTTGTCATGATTCGGGGACCGACTTCATTGCACCATGTGCAGAACCTGCTATTCCGGCTGGATACGTCTGTTTACGTACCGTGCTCACGAGGCCCGGTAGGGCACCGCCGAATACACCTTTCCCCGACTGCTTGTGCTTGCTTTCGGGATAGTACCAGAGAACAGACACAGCCCTCTACTGCTGTCTCTAGATAAAACCCTGCGGACGGACGAGAAGCCAGGAAAGGTCTGCATGCATGCTCACCTGCTGTACCCAGTGAGAGCCGGGAGACGGCCCCGCCGCGGCTGCATCCCGTTCGACCACGCGCAAGCAGGCACGACAAGGTCATAGCAGTGCGTAGTGTGAGCTTTACGACGCCAGCATTTGTGCATACATATACGCCATGTGTGGTGGATTGTTGTTGGCAGGAACGCGTTTTCGGCGCGCCTCCGCGTGTATCTGTTCAACGGCTGGTTCGGCGGCGGGCAAACGAAAAGAAGAAGACAACGTAAAAGTTCGCAGCATCCACGGACTCTAGCACACCTGACTCTGGCCACACCACACAACCTGGAGGCACGCCTTACTGCAGCAAACGAGTGGCAGTGGTGGAGAGGGAGAGGTTTGTGTGTACCTACCTCACATTTTTTGGCGCAAAAAATGATCTCTGCAGCGGCACATATGATACTCTTCCTGTTGGTGCGACAAAACTTCTCCATCATTGCATAAGCTCTTTCTTTCTCTCTCGCCGTACCTGTGGAAGCCACGAGCACCACAGCAGCGACCGAAATCTTGGCGAGGCCGAACATCGTTGGAGAGAGTGCAAGCAGAGGAGTCGGGCGCGCAAGAGAGTAGCTTGAAAGCAGTGTGTGGACCCTCTCACACGTGCAACTTGTTGCAGGACCCGGGGGATCTGCAGCTGGTGGTATCCTGGGCACAATGTACACCTGTTCGCGAGCCGTGGTCGCGTCACCACCCTCTGCCGCAGCCAACGACGGAGCCTGCACACACAGCAGTTTCATCTTGTCTTTCGTTTGCAAACTCACAGATACACCCGAGTTTCACACCAAGCCCCCCCCTGCCGCGTGGGTACATATCTACGCACTTCTCTGACCTTGTAATGGAGCCGAGAAAGTCGTCACCGAGCGCCCACGGCGGCTTGGTCGGGCTGGCTCTCTGCTGCTCCGTTTTGTCTTTTCCGGGCGTGAGCTCCTGGATTTTGACCCCCCCGGTCACCAGCAACAGCCGACCGGCCCCTGCCATCCCCCGGGCATCGCCCCTCCCCACCAGCCTCAGGTATGTGTGTGTGGGTTGTGCGTGAGGGTTGCGCAAAGAAATGCAACAGATTCATATGTAGAAATCGAAAGATGCGACGTGGTACCCGTGTTGGTTGCTCTTCGGCCTTGAACATCAGGTGTGATGCAGGGTCTGTTCGTTCTGATGAGGTAAAGGCGTGATCCATGTCTTCCATCATCTCGCCCGCCCCGCCCCCATTCCTTCGGCCCGACAAAAAGATCGGTCGTGTCGCGGGGAAACCACGGGGGTTGATTGCGGTCGGCTGTGCGCTGCTTTGCCTGCGTGTCGTGTGACATGAATGAGTTGCTCCCTAGAAGATCGAACGGATCATAGAGAACTGCAAGTGGCAAGTGGCAGCAGCTGGCTGTTCGAAAGTTTCCCGCTGGCGGGCCACTCGGCGCTGCTTCAAAGAGGCGGCTTGATACCGCACTTACCACCGCACACCGCACACGCACAGCGCGGTCGATGCTAAACAAGAAAGACACAAACGGACCATAACAACTGTTGTTGCTGTTGTCAACCACGGCGGTGTCAAACCGTTGGCTATTAGTGGCGTTGGAGGCCCGGTGATTTCGCACATGTTGCCTGGGGAGAACCACGTCTTGTTCTCTCTGTGTCAGGAGGTTCGAGGGGGATGATGTGTTTCCATGGCCAGCAAGTTTGGTCTGCATACCGCAAGACTCGGCAGAAAAGTACTCCCTGGCGCCGCGTGACAACTTCGCAGCTTGTTCCAGACTTGTTGTGGTGTACGCTCTAGATAGGCGCGTTGCACATGTGTGGCGTCGGAGATATGACACACACAGCAGTAGCACCAGCAGTGTTGATGACATTCTAGAGAGTGGCGTCATGCACGTTGCGCGAGTTGCTCCCAGTACATAGTACTGCTACAGCGACATCGCAACACCGTGAATCGCGCGTGTTATGTACAGGGAGGCAGTTTGAGGGTGCTGCTGTTGTGTGTATGATATGTACGATGCTCTAAACACGTGTTCCCTTCTGGTTTCATACATTTGAACCGCCCGTAAAGCGCGCCGAGGACAGCAATGAGGTGCACGCATTTTGTAGAACCTTGTTCATAGTATCTGTTGGCACGCCCATGAAAATAGTGTACGTCTTTACTTGTCTGTTCTTGCAGCGTTTTCGGCACACCCCGGTGCCAAAATACGAAAATACAGCAACGATTCCAAGGAAACAAAGAAAACTATGATACGTGTTGTAATGTCAAGACAACAACATCAAATATCATTAGTGGGATATTCAAGGGTCGCTCGGCTATTGTGTAGCCGAGAAAATACCGCCCTGGTACAAAGAAAATACCGCCCTGGTACCGTAGGCAACAGGTGGACGGTACAATATACAGCCGGCGTACCGGCATATTTTGGTTTTACCGCCGCCGCCAAATTCGTTACAGCCGAAAAACGCAAATATGCATGTACCGCCTTCTTACTTTGTATCGCCAAAAAATCACCGCCGTATGGCGTTACCGCCGTTTCCGCCATTTTTTCGTTCGACCGCGCTCGCCAAAGTCGTTTTCCGCCTACGCGATCTGGGTGTGGACCCACACACATGTGCACCACATCCCCTCTCAAAAACACGCGCGCATGGGATCCGATGCGCCATATTTATTGAAGGCGGCGAAAGAGCGACAAAAAAAAACGCTGGTTGTAATACAAATAAGTCGAGGAACTCCGTGCATGTTTTATTTAGTCAGTATGAAATGTAAGCGTCTCTTGGGCAACTGGTAGAGGCCGAAACGTTGATCTCTCGCCGACTATTTAGCGAGATGTGGGCCTCTGTGGCTTGCTCTCAGTCGCAGAAGACGACACTCGAAAAGATACAAAACGGTTCTCGTGCATGTACAGCAGTTGGCGCCGGTACTTATGATGAACCTAAAATTATGGGCGAGCCTGTGGTCCTTACCGTATTCGTAGGGTCATGCGACGAATGACAACTATATGGAGTAGGATTTCTGAACCAAGCTCACAAATGGTTCTCAAGTTCTTAAAAGATTTTTTTTGTTTTAGAGGCTATACCAATTTTCTTACCATGTCTGCCAAGTTCTTATTTATGTGTGGGCGTTAACTGCCGGAGGAGGAATTTGACAGCGGCGAGGGACAGGAATAAACATCTTCGATCTCTTCCAGAGCGGCCCTATGAGAGACCGGGGTTGGGCTTCGTGGATTGGCGCAAGAGATTTGACTACCAAGTCGTTTACAGCGGTAGGAGATTCTTCCCGAGTCCGTTCGAATCTGTATCACGCATGAACCGCTACAGCAGTAGCCCATGCCAGCAAAAGTCTGCGCCTGGACCTGTATAGGCGCGTTGGCAGCACCAAGCCAACACGACCCTAACCCGCCCACGTCTTCTGCCCGCCCCCCCTCCCCCCCCCC